TGCATGTAGCACCTGTCCACAACTCTTTAAAGCAATTACATCTTTCCCTAAGATTGCACTGCTGATACAATCCTGGGAAAAGTACAGTTGCTTTAAGGACTCTTAGATGAGAAATGCTATGTGAGCACCCCTACACAGCTTTTTCAAGCTTCATTCAGTGTGTGATGGGTTTTTTTCTTAGAAACTCCAGCAGCAAGCAGTGGATGGGTCAAAGACAAAGCTTGGATAGGTAAGTTGCTTTTTTGCAATACAAGAAGCTCCCAGAACAAAGATCACTTACCACAAGATCCAGAAAATCAGCTTGCTGTATATAACAAACCCAGGATTTGAATCTTAGATAGCTATCTCTCCCCTTACATGTCAGGGAATTTCTTGTTGCTCTTTTTTTTTTTTGCCTTTAGATGTGGAGAGGCACCAGACTGCTGATTAAGTTCTTATCTTCATTTTTTTGCCTTTTGCACCTCAATGTATATCAGTCTGTTTGTTCATGGAAAAACTGTCTGTCCATCTGCTTGGGGTGGAAGAGGAAGTTAAAACTCCTTAACTTCCAATTGTTGTTTTTTTCCTTAACAAAGAGAGACTGAACGACCATTTGTATGAAATGATATAGGGCAGTGATGGCTAACCTTTTTGTTGTCGCGTACTGAAGGCTCACATGTGCATGCCTGCACCCATAATGCAATGCATATGCAAACCCCCCATGCTCCCCCCGCCCCCCTGCACATGCGTGCAGGACTCCCCCATGCTACCACTGACCCCCTGCACATGCGCACACATCTCCTGCATGTGTCCCACCACCCCACGCACACATGGCAAATACCTGAAAATCAGTTGGCTGGCGGGAGGTGCGTGTGCTTATGCGCAGTGGTACTGAGCTGGGGCGACGGCTTGCATGCCCGCAGAGATGGCTCTGCATGCCACTTCCGGCATGCATGCCATAGGTTCGCCATCACAGATATAGGGTCTCCTGTTTGAGCAGGGGTTGGACTAGAAAACCTCTGAGGTCCCTTCCAACTCTATTATTCTATGTTCCAAGAACCTTGCCTCTCGCTGCAGTCATCTCCTTGTCTGGAAGCACCTGTCAACCATTTTTAAAAAAGAATGTAAAGATACTGTATGTTTAATACCAATTGCTTAGTGTTAGAAAGGATCTTGGGAGATTTTCTAGCTCAGCCCTTTGCTTAAGACAATAACCCTCACATAAACTCAGACAAATGGCTGTGCATTTGTGCTCTTGGACTATCTCCAGCTTTGCCTTCTTTGATCAGTGGGAGAATCAGTAGCAAACAATTGGAAAGGAAGCTGAAGAGAGGCACCCAGGGTTTAAAATGATGAAAAGTAACAAAGAGCTGGGGGAATAGGGTGTGGAGGCCTGGCCTTCCAGGGAGAAATCCACTCTACTCCTATCTAATATCTATTTCTATCTCTATATAAATATTGCCATATTTGCACATTTTAAAATGTTTGGGAAATCCTGGAATGCAATCTACTTGCATGTAGATTCTTGAGGTTCTTATGGATCTTGACATATTGCTTTTCTTTAGAAGTCCTTTAGAGGGCACCAAATCTGTGCCTCGTTCGGCAGCTGAAGTTGACAAATCAAGAAATAAAGGTCAGGTAACAGCCCAGGTGGGCGGGTGGGCAAAAACACCAGCAGACATAGAACCGGTTCCATGTCTGCTGCTCTTCAGAGCTACCAGTTCTACAGAGGTGGACAGAACCGGTAGAAACCCACCCCTGCACCAAATGAATGTGTGAGTACCAAAGACACATACTTTGTCCAACTCACCGGAGTACAATAGTCAATGTTGCTAGGAATCAACTTTACTTGTGTACGCATTGAACAGAAGGCAAGAACTGCAACTGAACATGAAAAGGAAATTTTATTAAACATGTCTACATAACATGAGTTGGAAGTTCATTTAAAAGCACAGGGAGATGTTAAGACAAGTGGTCAAAATAGAAAGATACTACCGAATCATTTATTTATTTGGCCACTAAAAGACAAAACAGAATCTAGTCAGTGCACCAATGCTTCAGTTCTTCCTGCTCAGCAGGTCGAGCAGTAATCATTCCATGTGCCCCATGGAAACATGGGCAGAATAGTTCTGGCAATATTAAATCATAATAGTAATAATAATAATAATAATAAATATTTCACTTGGTGCAGGCAGTTATGTCTAGGAAGGAAAACATAATTGTGTACACAGTTTCTACATGTGTTACAGCCCAACAGTAGGAATCTACATCAAAATATTTATTAGAAGGAATTTGGTCCGTACTACATCACGTTTTCCATAGGGTAAAAAATAAAGTCCATCTATAGACATTAAGCACCAGACTAACTCATAGCCTGGCTGAAACCTGCAAAATGTCTATAAGAAAAAAATGGATGGCTTAGATTTCTTGGTTACTTCGTTAGCATAATTACGAGCAAACTGTACAAGTACATGCAACATACAACCTGGCCTATGTAGAACTAACATACATTATTAAATAAACTCTTTTGTTTCTTTCCCCCCATTTTTCTTTTCCCCTCCCCCCTCCATTTCCCCCCCTTCCCCTCTTTTTCTTTTACAAAAATGTACATGCAGCTTGGAATAATTCCTGGTCATGCTGCTCTATTTTGTGAGATCACCCTAAAAGGAACAAAAACACCTCAATGCACCTGCATATTCTACAGGGCATTTTAAAGCACATTTACAAGAAAAACAAAAACATAAAAAAAATCACAATGGATTTCAAGGCCATAAAGAATCTAAATCAGCCTCAACCAACCTGTTGACTTTCGGTTTCTGTTGGGACTAAACTCAGCATATTCCTAGAGGGTTGCAGTCCAAAAACATCTCAAAAGCACCAGGTTGGGAAAGGCTGACTTGAATGAATAAAATGTAAGTATATTTATTCTTCTTCCTTTAACTATACCTCTCCCCCCCACCCCACCCCCGACCCACGAGGTAATTTTGTTTTAAAACAATCAAGCTTTGTGCTTGCATCAATCTCAAAGATATGTAAACTGAAGTTTAAAAAAAGCATTCATAAGTGCAGAATAGTTCAACTGGAATTTTCAATGACAAATAATTCTCAGTGAAATAAACATTGAAACTGTGATAAGAACTTTGATTTTGTAAAGTTACAAATAGACTCAGGGTCCAGATGGATTTAAAATTAGATTTCTGAATTAATTACAAGAATTCTTTCTGGTGGAAAATACCTTTATTTTGAATTCTTTTTTAAAAAAAGAAACATGATAGGATGAGACTTTGAAGATTGGATACTAGAGGAAACCAGAAAGAACTGAAGATTACAGTTAAAGAACACTTAAAATCAACGTATTACTGCAGAATAAAGGAATGTACTTTAACATTGGGCATATTGAATGTTATTTTTGAACAATGGATCCAGCAGTTAATTTTAAGAATGTCTGCCTCAATAGACAGACTGTGTTTGAAAGATGTCATGGAAGAGGAACATGTTTTACTGGAAAAGATTGAAAGTAGATTTAAAAATGAGAGGCTGCAAGAATGTTATGGAAAAAGATGTCATACTGGAGAGACTTGTTAAAGCTTTGAAAAATTTTGTGAGAAGGGACAAGAAAAAGAAAAGAAAAGAAATCAAGTTCTAGGGTATTATTTGAAGGGCCTAAGACCAAGATTATTAAAATAAAGGGAAGAAATGGTTTATCTAGTTATCTGTGGCAAACCTTAATGGATCAGACTTGATTGATGAGGCTTTAAGGATTTTTTCATAGATAAGAGATGGGATGTGGGAAAAAGAAATCATTTGTTGTATTTTAAAGAAGATAAGTTATTAAAATTGTTTATACTTGTGGTAAAGGGGAAGTAATTCTTTAATATATTTCTTTCCTTTTCTTTATCATATTCCTATTTTTCTCTTTTTTATTTTCTGTACTTTCTATTTTTCCTTCCTTTTCCTATTAGTTTTTGTCTTTTTAATTGTAAATTTGAATAAAATTACTATTAAAAAATTCAGTGGAAAATTGAACAATTTATACCAAGCTCTAAAAGGGGAGAGCTAAGTCTTTTCAAAAGTAACACAAGAATTCAAACATTCTAGATAACAATACAAAGTTTTAGATGTTCAATATTTTCCCAATCAATATTTATATGTATATGATATGATTCTAATGACTTTTCTAATGAGCTCTGGTAGAACAATCACTTTACAAAAATGATGGCCAGTATATTAAAATTAAATCCAAAGCCAAGCCAAAACTTGTTGGTTTAAAAAAAAAAAAACAAGTCTGTAACAATAGATGCAGCTTTAGATTTCCTTCATGCAAACTCTTAAAAACAGGAAAAAAAAACCCACCTTGATGCATAATGCAAATATATTCTGTTTTTACAACAGTAACAAGCTGTAATAAGAAGCAAAAGTAAACCGTAAGTTGGCCATTTATTCTAGTTCCCCACCTGTTAATTAAGATTGTGGACAACCAGAAAGGAGGAACAATGGGACAGCTATTGGCATCGCAGGATTGCAAATGAACACTTTTCAGAGATGCTTACAGAGATATACTTCAGCCCTTTTTGTTTTTGTTTTAGAAAAAGAAAGGAAGAGTCTCTGTTAGCATCAAGAAGATTTTTTTTTTTTTTACAAAACTGGCAGGAGAACATAGAAAAAAGAAGTAGGAGAGGTAACAATACAGAAATATCAGGATGTTAACACTGCTTGTGGTTTCTGCTGAGAAACAAAATGGGACGGGGCACTGCTGAAGAATGGTAGTTCCAGTTGAATCTCAAAAGTCGTCCTTCAAATCCTGATTAGGGTAAACGTCAGGGTCATTTTGCTAGATGGATTGACTATATTTTCATATACTGCTTTGCTCAATCAATTTAAGCTGTCTTTTTTTAATACCCAACTCAAGACATATTTTTGGATCAACTACTACAGGCAAAATTGATGTGATGATTGTCTCTTTTCAAAACTGTTCCTCGTTGTTGCAAATAGCTATTCCCCTTCCCACTGATTGCCTTGAGTGACACTGAGTTTGTTAAGAGAACTCCTGCTTGACGTTCGTTAAGATCGAATACAGGGAGGCCCAGTTGAACTTTCCAGAGATGACTGGGAAGCCCTGCGAGTCAGAGGAGTCAATGTTGGATCCACCAAGGAGGAAGGTGGAAATAATTTATACCAGCCTATTACCACACTGGATAAATCAAGTTCTTCTAACAAGATCTGTGCAACTCCCATGAAACACTTGTGATCCATTCGACCATAATCTCCCCATACTATCACCTGCAAAGACAACAGGCAGAATTAATGCTTGCTTATTGACTTAATTATTTAATTATTTAGGCTTACATGGGGTTCCAATCAGAAATGACTCTGATTGACTTATGTTCCTTATTACAGTATTAAAATGCAATCTGGACCATACATTTTAAAAAAACCACACACACAACAATACAAATCATAAACTAGATCTTTATCACCTTCTGGGATAGTAACAGCAAAGGACCACTTGATCTGCAAGGCTATTCTGAGATTACATCTTGTATTGTATATTATATAAACTGGAGGCAATCACTTACTGGATCCAAAAGAAATCCTTTGGATTTTAAAACTTCAGATTTCTTCCAGCCAAATCACTGTATCTCTCTTTCTTTTCGTTTCCTATAACTAGAGATCTTTATTCTCTTTTGTCCCATGACTCAAATGGGTCACTAATCTAACTTCATTAAGCTCTAAGACCATTTCCTGTCATTGATGAAACATCAACTATTCTACCCATTTTTTGTCGTGTCATTCACCCAAGAAAGGACAATCTTCTAATAACTGTTTCGATATACTACTCTATAAAACAGTGATACAAAATTCATTTATTTATTGTATTTATACATTAAATTTATTAACCACCCATCTCCCGCACAGAAGGGCTCTCATATTTTCTGAGCTGAATTTAGCTCTAACTATGCCGGAGTGTTCGGTTTTTAGTTGATATCATTGATAATGATCATAGGCTGCACCAAGATAAAAGTATCTACTGACCTGAAGGACTTTACCATGTGAATTTTCATCGAAAACCAATGTCTGTTGGTATAAGGGATCAAGGGTTTTCCTGGCAATCCTTGTTTTCTTCTTAGCTACACATGCCCCATTTTCAAGCAGATACACTTTGACATATGGTGCTACAAAATATAAATATGTCATGCTTTTACAACTTAAGTTAGTAACTCCCTTATTGTAAGGCATTTGTACTGTAATAAGAAATTAATTTAAATTACCACCGTGATTACGAAAACAGCAGTAGCAACTGGTAAGTTACAAAAAAATGTAATGAACCAAACATCTAGAATTCTTCTCTAGTGCACACAACATCTTATGGCAGTATAAATCTGTTATAACTCTCGGAAACTCAAATATATTTTTAGTTATTGGCATGGTCGCATGAGTTATTAAGATTTACCAGGAAAATATTTGGACAAAAGCATAGGAATATTCTGTATGCTTTAATCCTTAACATTTCTAACAAATCAGAAAGGTTAATATAAGAAAGGTTAATATAAGGTTCCACCTACTGATTGTGGATGGATATAGATAGATAGATAAACATACAGATAGATAAATAGATCTTCAATAGTGTCTGATCATTAGATCAGGACAAGTCTCTGCAATTTTCATAGCATGGTTTTTCAGAAGTTGTTTGCCAGTGCCTTCTTCCTAGGGCTGAGACACAGTGACTGGTCCAACGTCAGTCAACTGTGCCCAAGACGGGACTAGAACTCATGGTTTTCAGATTCCTAGCCTGATGCCTTAACCACTACACCAAACTGACTCTCATGTCTCTCTCTCTATCTCTTTATCATACAGACAAATGATCAATTATGAATCAGGAAAGAATGCCTAAGAGGTAGCAATCTTCTTGCCAGTATTTAGTGTTTCTTGTTTTAGCATAAAAAAACTCAGCTAGAAAATTATCCTTTTTCCAATAGGCATGTCTGAAATAGTTTTCATTGTATCAGGGATTCTTTTCAAAGATTTGAGCTTCTTCTTGATAGGAAATGACAAGTTACTGACTTGTGCAAAAGATGAGAATGGCACTAAAAACTTTGGTTACTTGGCTTCAGGGCATCCCTCACTTGCTCTGTACACTTCTTAATGATGCTGGAAATGTGTATTATGCATAGTGTATTGCATCAGAATATTTCTTAAATTATGATAATCTTTTGTGATCTGTTCTATGAGGAAGTACACAGGGCAATCCTATATGTAGCTAAGTCTCATATAATAGAATGAACTTTATTCTTATAATAAAAAACGCATTACAATTTAACTTCTTATCTACATCTGGCAACATCTATTGGATTTATAGCCAGTATGATGTGTATGTATAGAGAAATAGATGAAAATCATAAATCAGATTTAATCATAAGTTGTTTTGCCTGCTGAAGGGACAAGTGTTAATAAAACATATGGTTTTATACAATCATATTTGTCCAACCCCAAATGGTTCATTAGGTAATTCTGTTAAACAGTGTCATGCTTATTATACCATGATCAAAACATTGTAACCATCTACCACATTTTATGATCTTGGTATTAGTATTTGGAGAATCAAGTATTAGGAGTATTAGTATTAGGAGAATCAAGTAAAGCTCCCTCCCCTTACGCACTCTTTCATAACTTCTCTAATTATTCTTGTAGCAATAATTATAGGAGATATGATGTTTGGGTATTAGATCTGTCATTCCAAGAATGGCCATGCATGGCACTTCCTGAAAAGGTTGACTTGGTGGCCACATCCTTGTGATTGAAGCCCACACAGCACACACAAAGGATGGGTGGGTCTTCCATTGTGCATTTGCTGCCACCATCTTGACTTTTTGGGCCCCTTCTGACAGATGCCCTTGGATATATACAACAGTTCTGGTGCACAGAGCAGTGCTTGAGTGTTCCATCCATATTTTGGAACACTGAATTCTTCACAGCTATATGCCATATGCACAGTCTGAAAAATGTGGACCCAGATGGCATCATCAAAGTTTGGCTAGGTAGAACTTTTCTTACCTGGGGTAGATTTAGAGCCAGGCTTCTGTATTAGGCCTCGAGCTCTAATAACTTCTACTTCTAACTGTCCTTTCTTATCCACCATTCCGATCTGAATATCTCCTAAGACAGAGATAGAGTTATCATATTAATCAAAGGAAGGAAGGAAGGAAGGAAGGAAGGAAGGAAGGAAGGAAGGAAGGAAGGAAGGAAGGAAAGAAAGAAGGAAAGAAGGAAGGAATTAGTTTTATAGTGTACCTTAAATTGTGCTATTTATTATTTTATTAAGCACTTCCATCCTGGCTTGCTAAATTTTCTACCTTTTTTCAATTGGTTTAACTTACATTTTAGCTAACTGGCACAATTTATCTTATGTAGTATGCAATTTAGTCTAACATCAAAGTCATAAACAGAACAATAGATTTAAATGTAATAGCCTCGGTTGACTGGCAATAATAAAAATGGCAGCCGGAAACACTTCAGAGAACACGCTCCAAAGTCATGTCCTGCCCTACACATTTTTAAAATCTGTTTGGTACCTACTGGGCATCAGTAGAGGGTGCAACAACAGCTTAAGAGTTTTTACAATTAGAACAAGATTTATATCATTGGCATGTAAGAGAAGTTTCCCAAATCACTTCAAAAAATAAATGTTTCAATTGGTTTTAGAATCTCTGCAGAGCCTATTAAAAATTAGAAGCATAAGTAGTGGAACTAAATATCACTGGGAAAAATAAACTGTTTTCAACCTAAGTCATGCATGAACTATTTGTAGAACTGCATTGACTAAAACCCAGCAGGTGTATTATATACAACTAAAAAATCTAATCATCATTTATAATACAACTGACTCAATAATTGCTCAAACATAGCCAATACATCTATGAATGAATAAGGAACATTAGATAGAAATAAACAAACTCTACCCTAAATAAAAATACAATAACAGCTGAAGTTGAGGCCAGGTTCAATTGTACTCCTGTTCGGGAAACTTTTTAAAAAGGCTGATCTTTCTACTTCTGACTGTCATCAAGACAAAATTGTTGGCATCAAGTGAGCAATTTTGTAAGAGAAAATGACCTATTGGTAGATAGTTGATGTTCACCTGCTCGAATGTTTTTGCTAGAGTGTGATTAAATATTTTCACCAATAACAAAAACCCTAATTAAAAAAGGAAAATAAACCTCGGAGCTTTGTAGTACAATCTGGTACAGAGAAATATTGCAAAAGTCACAAAGGGAACTCAACCCACCTGTTTCAAATTACCTTAATATTTCCTTTTATGCAATTAATTTATGGTCCATGCTAAAATATTTAGGAACATCAACTTACTACATACACTACAGAAATGGCCCAGCACATAGCTATACATACAGAATGGATGAAAAATGGGACACATTTTAAAAACTGCTTAATCAGATAAGGATGTGACAACCCTGCTCTCAAACAATACATTTTTAAATGGCTAATCTGTTTTACAGGTAAAAGAAATCTACTCTTACCCATGGCAGGAGTTGCTAAAGTCTGTCGTCCCACTAGCTGAGCCGGTCCAAGCCCATCTAGAAAATCACTGAACTGGCTATCAGCACCCAGTCGAACTCCAGGAAATATTAAACTATAACAAAAACACAGTAGAAGGGCTAAAAAATAATTCATATTATCTGGCTATTATTTTGGCATGACTCTTTTTTCAAATGTACAGCTATGGATGAAACCTATGAAATATAGAACACATTGCCATTTTCTTGAACCTTACTCTTTTTGGAAAACTTACTCATTTCTGAAATTGTCACATAAGATAGGACAATATTAGTTCTATGGAAACAGAACCCCACTGTAAATGTTGAGTTCAAATGAAAACATCAGGTATTCCAAACTACAATTCCCACCATGTCCAGACAGCATTCTGGATATGCTGAGTCTAGATAATTGTAAAGACAATAAAGAAATATCCTCATTTTTTTTCTAGAAGCTCTGCATGTCGATTGTTCCCTTGGTCTCAAAACAGAGGGGAGCAACCCAAGATCTTAGGCATGGTAAAAAAATGGTGTGCACCCATTCCAGTCCCAAAACAGCCGGGGAAAACATTCCTTCAATTTTTTTTATGTTCTTTTCAATACATAAAAGTACCCCAAATTTGGTATCCTATCATGACAACATTAGCAGATTTTGGCAACATATTTAGGACCAAGGGCCTTATTAAATATGTACAGGTTTGGATTAATACAGCCAATTGATTGAACAACAATCTTATCTTGTTTTCAGAAATGACCAGATTATTTATTAAGTACACTTGTCACAATGTACATTTATCAAAGTAAAAAAAAAATCAGGTTGAAAAACAGATTCCATCTTGAGGCTGCTCCTTTTCTGCCTCATAGCGGTTCCAGTTTTGATAAATGTCTGGATAAAAGGAAACTGAAAACCTCAGCAGAACTTCCATATTTGAAATAAAATTATAGTATTTGAAATTACCTGAAGCCTCTATTAGAGGCATCACATATTAAAACAGCAATTTAGGCTAAAGTTTCCCCCTGGGATCTTCCAATCCTAGGCAGCAAGTCTTGCCAGAGCATAACCAGGGATATTTTATCTTCGAGAATCAGCAGAATCACCCAAGAGAATCTCCAAAGCACTTTTTCTTCCCTACTGAGCAACCACAATTCCCACTCAATTCATCTCAATGAGACAGCAGGGTTTTTAGGTCAACCTTGTCCCAATTTATCTTCCTCTGCTGTCCTATATAGGCGCTATTGCTCGGAATCTGTTTTATCCTTCCTTCTGCTTTAAAAGATTGTCTCTCCTGCGTGGTTGCAACAGTTGATCTGCCTCCTGTTGCAACACTATGGGAACCCTAACCTTCCAACATTGTCATAAATCACCTGCTCATCTGACACATATAATGGGGTTTGGTTTTCAGAGGCTTCAACTCACTTTCCTTCTGAGCTGTAACTGTTGATACTCCCATCGGTTGACTCCCGACTGGGCTGCCGGACCATGCGACTTCTCATTTCTGCTGCCATTCCTGTCTCTGTGCTTCTTTGTATCGTGCTTTTCAGCTTCTTGTTGCCAGTCTCTGAAACAGACAGAAAAACAGAGAGTAGTAGAAACTGTAATAGGAATACTTATAGGGAATTTTTAAAAGGTTATAAAATCTTTGTAGTTATGTATGTTGTTCACAGTAGATTAAAATGAAAGAACACTGAACTAAACACACCTTTAAATAATAGGCAATAAAACTAAATTATCTTATTCTTAGCAAGCATACTGTCCTGTATATAACACATTTCAGTTCATTCATTACTTTATCTACTCATTAATACTAATAAACAACTCATTTTTTTCAACATGCATCTTTTTTGATCTTTTTAGTATATAGCATTTACCATCTATAGCTACAATCCTATATTCACTTACCTGGAATGTAAGTTTTAACTCAACTCCATTTAAACAGAAGTCACAGGGAACTGTAACACAGCATTTTTAAAAAAGAAAGATACAATGCAATAATTCCTCATTCATTTGCTGCACACTTATGAGCACATTTATGATGGGGGATGTTGGTTTTGCAACAGCCATGCTTATATTTTGTGAATGTGTTCAGCAACTTCACCCAACTTGATATTCTCCAGATATGTTGGATTGTGATGCCTAACTATCTGCAAGGAGATCCCAGGTTGATGAAGATGATGGGGCATGTAATGTATACTTCTGAGCATGTCAAGAACATTATCAATGAGGTGGTGCAAAATCCACTACTGACTTTATAACTTCATGAAATACTATTTTTCTTTCATGTGGTAGCCCTTTATTATACCCCGATTGCAGGCTGCCCAATAGGGCGATTTTCTACAAAAATCCCTACGGAGTAAGACTTCCATTCATAATACAGATATGGGATGTTCATTCTAACAATCATTATTTCAGATGTGTGAAGCTGAGACTGTATTGTAAACCAGCCAACAATCTGTCTACAATTCAATCCAATCCCACATTCTGCTTGTCGACTGCACTGTAGCGTATTAGTTATTTTCCACCTTTGTAAAATGCAGAAAAATTATTCACATCTCCTTTGTGATGGTTGCTGAGGGACTACTGGTATCTCAAGATGGAGGAAAGGTCAAAGGGTTATTTTAAAATGGCTACTGTAAGCTTTTTGTGAATTCTGATGAACAGCTGCATCAGGCCCAAGGAAGTAAATGCTGAGTATCGAACAGCATTTAGTCGTGGCTTATGGTCACTTGGAAATCATGCAAATGGCAAATACCTCCACAATGCATGCAATTTTAATAAATTTCATCATGTTAAAAATGTTCATGAATAATGGATAAACACAATTTCTTGCTCAATTATTTTGTTGACAGATATGTGAGAATTCTTTCAAGAAAACATTTGATAAAAGGTCTTCCCATCTGAGCATGTCATTAACAATGGAAATACACTCTTCTGGATCCTTACAACCTTCCCTCTGTTGATTGGCATCTGTTGCCTTTTATGTGTGTCTTGTTTCAGCCGCAGAGTGGGATGCACAACTGTTTCATTTGACACCTCTATAAATAATGGCTTTTCTACTAGTCATAAATGGAGAGATTCACCTGCCCATGCAATTCAAAGCATTCTGTGCTTCCGTTGATCTGCTATTAAGGATTTGAAAGTTAAAATACAGAGCAAACTGTTTGGATGCCACTATCAAAACATGGACATTATGTTTTACCTTAGTACTTCTGAGTTTCATTGAAATGTTAACTATGACAATATGAAAGACAATATACACTGTAAACATTGTGTAAACATCCCAATGTAAGAAACACAGACCTGGATAAATTAACATATTCCTGAAGATCTATTGCATTGTATATAAAGACACTAAGTATGGTGACACTTAAACCAAGTTTTGCCTCTGAGAACTCTAAAGCATGTCAGTATTTACAACATATGTAGTCATTTCAAATGTGAAAGAGGAATTAAAAAGTTAAGACCTCTCTCTCTACCGAGCATAACTGATTTCTAGACATCTATAGTACATGAGTTATATAAAATGAACCATCTGCCAGAAACGTATGATCATACATCTTTGAAATTAGAGAGTAAGTGACACGCTTATTATGATGGATGTGGAGTGAACCATCCTGTAATGATCAGATAAAGAAAATGTTTAGTCAATACTGGCTGATGTTCTGGAAAGGCTGAATAATTCAACCAATTTGTTTTTTTGAAATTCAAGTTTATAGGCGCTTTATATCTTTGCTTTTTGTTGATCAGATAAGTAGGCAATGTTTGATTTTCCTATTGCAAATAGACATTTGATATTTGTACACTTTTGTTTATGCACCACATTGACTTCATAATAGCCAGGACTCTCCAGTGGGCTATGTTCCCATGGCATTTTTTTTCTGTGGAAGAAATATGTAGCTCACACTTTGGAGTCTTTATATCTCAATAAGGTGAACATTTTAAACAGAAACCATTCTATTTGCACTTGTGGCACTATTCTACATATGTATATTGAAAAGGTTCACTCAGCCAATAGTACAGAAAAGTGTTAAAGTAAGAAAAAATAAACATTCCTATTTCATACAAATGATTCTGATACATGATTTCAAAACAAATCTTCAGGTAAAAGAGCTGCTTTGGGAAACAGAACACTTGTCAATATGCCTAAGATATTGATTTATAAATATATTTTGGATATATAAATGATTATGGATACATAAAAAAAGAAGTCAGAGTTTTATGAATTGCTAAAAACACAATTGAAATACTGGAGAAAAAAATGACTGGTTACAAAAGAAATACACTCAAAAAGCTGTATTTTTTTCTGCTGAAAACAGAAAAGTAGACAACTCCCTAATCTGACCATTTTGTGTATAACTTTTAAAACATCTAACTGAAGTAGAAGGGAGAAAACCACTGAAATATTTAATACAGGGGTGTTAAGATTCAGAGGAATTAATGACATAAAAGCGCATGTAAGACTTTCAATCCATGAACTTTATCACTTCTCAAAAACCTTAGAAGCAGTCTTGAATCCATGGTTAATTTCTATTTTTTTAACTGACAAAAAGACAAATTAAATATGCAATTGAAGAATTATTCTCTTAGTTTTCTTTAATGTAAATGTAAAGAAAATTAAACCATGTTTGATGTTTATCCAGTATCCATCTACCATTTAGAAATATAACCTCCAGCCTGCCATTCTTGTATCTGGGAAAAACTGAGCACTCCTGATCTATCACTCAAGGGCATTTCTCATGAAAGACATATTTGTCATAGCTTCTAAACAAACCACTTATATTTGAGAGGGAGGAAAGTATTTCCCCCACCTTTTTCCCTCTAGTTTTTCTATTGGATTGTGAACTTTTAACTCTGGGAGCAAGGCCATAAAGAGGGACCAGTGAACTAAACTGAAATTTGTATACTCTTATTTCATTATTTGTTTGGAAGATGCACTATAGCATAATTTCTCCTGAAATGACCTGCGCTGTCTCAGAAATGATTATTTTCATTCAACGTATTGCTTCATGTCAAAAATAAAGTGGCAGATCAAGCAAAATTACAACTATCATGTTACTATCCAAAGGGCATTATTTCCATTACTGAAAGAGCAATTTACAATAAATAACACAGCAAAGGCCCTTACAAAGAAACAACAGCCTTCTTTAGTGCTTCTTTCTTTAAGAATCTGGACATCCAAGGACTATTGAGAAGATCATCTACGAAACACTTCTTTTGAAGATGCATCTCTGAAGAATATATAGTCATTTTTTTAAACATTCACTTTACCAGTTCAACAAACCATGAAAAGGAAAGTTTCATCTGCTATTATAATTTACTAATTACTAACACACTGATAATTTTTACTATGTTTCATTTATTTCACTAACCCAATGGCATCATTACTTTAAAATAGATTATACCTAGTTGATTTAATATTAACTGTGAGAGGGATCTTGGGAGCCCTAGTGGACAATTATTTAAATATGAGCCAGCAGTATGCTGCAGTTGCCCAAAAAACTTAAATATGACAGTTCTAGGCTGCATTAACAGAGGGATAGAATCAAGATCACGTGAAGTGTTAGTACCATTTTATAATGCCTTGGTAAGGCCACACTTGGAAAACTGCATCCAGTTTTGGTCGCCACAATATAAAAAAAGATGTTGAGTCTCTAGAAAGAGTGCAGAGAAGAGCAACAAAGATGATTAGGGGACTGGAGGCTAAAACATAAAGAACGGTTGCAAGAACTGGGTATGTCTAGTCTGATGAAAAGAAGGACTAGGGGAGATATGATTGCAGTGTTCCAATATCTCAGAGGATGTCACAAAGAAGAGGGAGTCAATCTATTCTCCAAAGCATCCCAGGGTAGGACAAGAAGCAATGGGTAAAAACTAATCAAGGAGAGAAACAACCTAAGGAGAAATTTCTTGACAGAACAATTTATCAGTGTAACTACTTGCCTCCAGAAGCTGTGAATGCTCCAACACTGGAAGTTTTTAAGCAGAGATTGGACAACCATTTGTCTGGAATGTTATAGGGTTTCCTGCCTAAGCAGGGGGTTGGACTAGAAGACTTCTAAGGTCCTTTCCAACTCTATTGCTCTGTTCTGTTTGTTCTGGTTATACATTTGACAGGAAACAGACATATAGCATACATTCATACAAACTTATCTTAAGTAAAGTTAAATTTTGTCTCTATTAGTAAATCTTCAGTAGGAAATGTATCAAACTTTCAAAAATCTGGGCGGACAATCAAATACAGGTTCTTAGGCGCCCTTTCATAAATCTGCATACACAACTCACATTTACACAGATATAATCTACCATTGTTTTCTGTTTTCTGTATCAGTTTGCTCCTCTGAGAAGCAAAAAAGGTCAGGAGGTCATGAGCAGGATAGTTTATAGGTTACTCAATCACATGCTATTGGCTTTTTTGGAAAGTAGCATACCAGTACTAAGAACCTGCTGTGCTGGCTCTTGCTGGCTTACAACAAATGCCTGCTCGTAAGCATGTGGCGTCTCCAAACCTCTCAGCAATGGCACCCATTTCTTACATCCTGAGCATTTCATGATTGTTTCTAC